GGCCCCTCCGCTCCCGCACGGCCCCCGCACGGCCCCTCCGCTCCCGCCGCTCCCGGCGGAGGTAAAATGGCGGCGCGGAGCCGGGCCGGACCCCGCGGAGGGATGGGACAGACCTGGCCCGGCTGGACGGGACGGGCGGTACCGGCGGATCCGCTCCGCTCCCACGCGCGGCCCGTCCCGCCCCGCCGCTCTTTCTTCCTCCCAACTTTCGCTCGGGGCTCCCGCTCCCACCGGCAACCCCCCCGCCCCGCCCTGACGTCACCGCTTCACCCCTGCCCTCCCCTCCCTGCCCAGGGAGGGTTTTGGTGTGGGGTTTTTTTTTTTTTTTTTTTCGGGGAGGGGGGGCTGGGTAGGGGCGTTAAAAGTTTTTTTGGAGGTGGCGGGGAGGGAACACAAAGCCCGCTGCGCCCGAGGGGAAAATAGCAACAAGATTACGGCTGCTTTATTCTGGCGAGGAGGAGTAAGAAGGTGCTAATCCAAGGGATGGCTAATTGAGAGCTTGTAAAAATGATATTTGCCTGCGATTTCGGACAAAGTGGGTTTTCTCTTCTCCCCCTTTAACGCCTTGTGGACGAGAGTTGGAAAAAAAAAAGAAAAAAACAACAAAAAAAAAACCAAACCAAAAAGATCGCTCATTTGCTAGAGAGGGAGTGCAACAGGGAAAATAAACCCCACAACAACAACAACAACAAAGCAAGATTAAAAAAAAAAAAATCAAAAGCCACGGACACGACTGACTTCACTCCAGAAAAAGGACCAGATCCCAGCTTTTAACATCTCTTTGGAGCCTTCGAGATCGGTGCGAGCTTACAAATCGCAGCCTCTTTCTCTCGCCCGCAGGATGCGTGCGGCGGGACGCCCGGCCTCGGCCAGCGGCAACTAGGAGGGGACAGGCTGTTCTGCGGGACGGCTCGCCGGGACTCACCCACCCTGGAGGGGAGACACACCGGACACAGGTTCGTACTGCATTTTGGACTTTGTTTCTTTTCTCTTCTGTCGCTCTGAAAAATTTCCTCGGCGCCCCTGAAATGATGCCTGGCCGCGGGCAGGTTAACTTAGTGCCAGATGTTACTTTGGAAAGTTTTGGAGTGGAGGAGGTGAGGTGAGCGCGGGGACCAGAGGGCTGTCGGGGCAGGGAGGTCCTTGCCCGAGCCCCTAGTTTTGGCAGAGCCCCCCTTGGGGTGCCCCGCAGCCCCAGGGCCGGACTACCCTTACCTTCAGGGAAGATCCCATCAACTCCCAAATGCTCCCGTGTGTCCATCACGATAGTCGGCTCCGTTTCTATAAAAAGGCATGACTCGGGTCAAAACCCGAACCTGAATAAGCCCCGCAGGTTGCCTTAGGCCTGACCAACGCTGCAGAGCCCCTCGCCGCTGCAGGTGGGGTCGGCCGGGTCCCGGGGCAGGAGGGCGGCAGTTCTCCCTTCCCCGCATCCTCCGAGGAAAGGCTTTGCTCGGCCCATTCCCGGGTTGGAGGGAGGGCCGGGGGGAGGTTGTCCGCCCCAGTCCCTGCCTCCCGGGCCTCCCCACCGGGCGCGGAGCGGGGTGGTCACCGCGGCACCCCGGCATCGGGGGAAGGGTAGGGAAGGGAGCGGCGGAGGGGCCGGCAGCAGTCTCTTAAGAGCCCATTTTGTGCTATTAGGGAGCTGTGGCAGCTTCTCGGCGGGACCGGGGATGACAGTGCATGACGGCCGGGCAGCCCATTATCCCGCTCCCATTGAGGCGCCCTTTCACTCACATGCAAACTCCTTGGCAGAGTCGTTTGTCTCCTCATTGTACTTTATTTAAGAATGCAATGGTTGTCAGGGCTCTTATTCAATTTCAAGATACTTTATTGATGAGCTTTGACTTTTAGCACTTTTCACATGTCAAGAGAAGTCAAGTGTATGCGGCTACGACTTCATTTTATGCTTTGCGCGTTCATACTCTCCACTTTCCGCGGTGGCTCTTGGAATTTCTTTTTCCTGTCTCTTCTTCTCTTTCTTTCCCCAAGCCTTTTTTTTTTTTTTTATTGTTTTTTTTTTCCCGGTGCAGACCCCCCTTCCCCTCCCCCCGGCCCACTCGCCATAACCGATTGGGACACCCTGAGCTCGGACTGGTGCTCCCAGTGTAACCTTAAATGCATGCGCTGAGGGGTTGCTTTAGAGTTTACTGAGGTGTGTCTTAATAGTCCGGCATTCAACAAATGTACTTGTGGTGTGTGGTCAGAGCAGCAAAGTCATTTACTTACTTTCCCCCTTGAGTTTCTGGCAGCCAGTGAAGGGGGTCCCTTTGCAAAAGGAGAGGGGAGGCGGGGGGAGCCTCTTCGGACGGGCACAAAGCGGCAGCACTGCCCAGCGTCAGGCTCTGCCCTCCTCCATCTCCTCCGTGGGATCTTTAAAAAAAAAAAAAAAAAGGGGAGAGAAAAGAAAAAAAATCAGCCGGGCAGCCCTTAGTCAACAAATGGCACGTGGGAGAACTTGGTGAGTGTTTGGTAAAGGACTCTTCAGGGCCTTTTCACAAGAGCCCTCAATACACAAAGTAAATGGTGTATTTGCTCTGCTCTTTCCCGGCCGGGGCAGAGCCGGGAGCTGGGGGGAAAAAAGGCGGGGGGGGGGGGGGGGAAGGGAAGGAGGGAAGGGTGACGGGCGGCCTCCGGGCGCTCCCGGGGGCGATTCACCGGCGACAAAGCGCGCCTGTCTCCCAAATATTTATGCCTTTACCATTTGAATGTTATTTCCACACAGCCCCCCTCTCCCTCCTTCCTCCCTCCCTCCCTCCCTCCCTTCCCAATCCCCCCCCCCCACCCCCAACCTTATCTCCATTGTCGGGCCGGGAGCGAACTGTTTAAATGCAAATCGACCTCTCCCCCGCCATCACAACCATCATCACAACCATCATCGCCACCGGCACTGCTACCACCACCACCGGCACTACCACCGCCGCCACCACCACCCGGCCGCCCCCCCTCCTCCCTCGGCGGACCCGTGCGGCGCGGTGCGGGATGGGCGCGGGGCGGCGCGGGCCGCGCTGGCGCTGCCGGGCCCTGCGCATTCATATTCAAACGCCTGGGCCAATTGGGCCGGGGCGGGCGGCGGCGGCCAATGGGCGGCGGGGAGGTGCTGGCGGCGCTTTGCATACGGCGATATTCGGGTGGGAGCGGAGCGGAGCGGGCGGCGGGCGCGGCGGGGCCGCCGAGCCATTAAAGTGGGGTTTGGAGACCGCCGGCCCCCCGAGCTCGGCCGCTTGTGGGTTGTTGTTTTTTTTTTTTTTGGTTTGTGGTGGTTTTTTTTTTTCCCCCCCCCTTCCCCCCGCTCGGGTCCCCGGCGCTCCTCGGGAAGGAAGTGTTTTGCTGGAGGATGATGACAGAGGTCAGGCTTCACTAATGGGCCAGTGGAGAGCGGTGGAGGCGAGGCAGAGACCAAGGCACACACACATTAATACACTTGAACCATCACCAATCAGCATAGGTGTGCTCTGCCTCTCTCTCTCTCTCTCCCCCACTTCACTCACACACTCTTTTATCTCTCGCTCTCCAGTCACTGACAGCCCATTTTATTGTCAATCTCTGTCTCCTTCCCAGGAATTCAAGATCACACAACCAGCAGCTTCAGTGGAGAAAAACTATTTTGCTGGCAACTCTTTTTAAAGCACCATCATTTTAAATCAGTGCGCTCTTAAACTATTGACAGGAGCTTTGACAACAAGACAGGATGCCTCATAAAGGTGAGTGCTCATTTATTCTCCCAACTTCTCCCTCCTCGCATTTTAATATTTAGGCAGGGCTCTCTCTCTCACCCCTCCTCTCTCCCTCTCTCTCTCTCTCTCTCTCTCTCTCTCTCATATTCCCATTTGCATTCCGGAGAGCTTCCCAGGGAACTTTCCAGCCCAGGAGCTCACAAACTTTCTGCCTTTCACATGAGCCCGTGTCCTCTGGAAAAGCTAAAGCATCTGACTCGGAAACCAATGCCAACACCAGCAGCAGTAATTCCCACGCAGCGTTTGCTGGTCAGGGAGAGCACAAGCGCCGGTGTCTGTGGTACCGATGCTGCCGGTACCCAGCTCGTAGGGGCGGTGGGACCCGAGAAAGGCTCCGGCCCCACGCCACGCCGAGTGGGAGGGAGAGAGGGAGGGAAGCGGCGCCTCGTTACCCCGGGGGCGGCCCCGTCCCCGACTTCTGCTTTGTGTTCTGCGGTCTCGGTTAGGGAAGGCTCACCCCTGATGGTGTGGGAGAAACACAGAGCGAGCGGCCGGGAGAGTTGCGTGGGGGAAAAAAAAAAAAATAAATAAAAATAACCCACATCCTAGGCCAAGTCAGCTCCCAGGCGCGGTACAGGCGGGGAGCTGAGCGGAGCTGAAGGGCTGTCAGCTTTAATCAGCCACCCGGGGATCTTCCCAACTTGTCCCTAGTGCCGGCAACTTTCCCAGCTCCGGCGCGGGAGAAGCGCCGGGGGCGCGGAGCAGCCCGCACCGTGCATGGAGGGCCCCGCCGGATGCTCCGCACCGCCCCGTCCCTGCTCGGCACCGGGGCTCGCCGTGCTCCCGGTGTGGGGAATTTTTTTACTCCCTTTTGAAATCGGCAGGCCTTTTTTTTTTTTTTTTCCATTTAAAAACCCCTGATATATCTTATTTCTACAAAAGCCTCTTTGACCCACCTCTGCGATTCCCAACTACAGCAAAGCTTTCTTTTTTTTTTTTTTTTAATTTTTAAGAAGTTGCAAACTCTCGTCCATGCAAGGAAAAAAAATATATATTTGCTCCAGCGAAGCACAACAATAAACTTGATTCCTTTTCCCCTCACAAGTGCAATTGCAAAAGAAAAAAAAATTGGGTTTGAATTTAACCTTGTAGCGCTTTCCACGGAAGGGTTACATGGGCACGCAGAGCAGGAATCATTTCTGGAAAGTTTAAAAACAAACTTTCTCAAATGATTCAATGTACCTGGCAGAGGCTGTTTTGGAAAACCACACCAACGTATTAGAGAAGAAAAGTGACAGCATCTTCTCCATTTTAGAGGCATAAAATAATAAAAGTGGCCCTTGACAATAAATGTTTATAGCTGCTGACCTTCACCAACGTCTCATCGCAAACCGATTCGTTTTTATCTTTTTCTCATTTGCCCCGGGAACGCGAAACTTTTTCCTAAATGTCTAATTACGGTTTCACCGGAAGAGGGGGAAAAAAATTGCTCTCCTCCATGAGATAATATGACTATTTCGAGTTAAAAACCGAGTCGCAGATTAGGCCCGGCCTATTAGGACGCGGCAAATTGCATCCCAGTTCTCGGAGGGAGCCGGCCGCGTCCCACGGGCCCGGTGAGGGTCCGGGGGTTCCTAAAGGGCAGCAGCGAATGCGGGCCACGGCAGGAGGAGGCGATTTCGCGTTGGTGTTGCGGGGCCGCCAGGCCTGGCCGGGGCCGCCGGGCCGGTGGCTGGAGGCGGTGGCGAGTTGCTGAGCAGACACGCAGCTCCTTGTCCCACGCCTCCTCTTACCTTGCTGAAGATCTTGGCTACCCTCGCCTTCTGTTGTAAACCGCTTTCGGCTCTGTTTGGGTTTGTTTTGTTTCGTGGTCTTCTTCTTTTTTTTTTTTTCCCTCTTTTTTTCCTCTCTCTCTTTTTTTTTTTTTTTTTTTATTTTCCCCTCCTCCATTTCTTTTAAACCCACTCAGTGTCATTTCTGAGATCCGTGCGGGCAGAGCTGAGGGCTGGAAGTTTCCTGGTGCCTTTCTGGACGGTTTCTTTAACCCCGTAGGCCCCACACTTATGATTTGTGCATGAAATATGGGAGGAAATTGTGTCTGGAGAAGTGGGTTTCCCGTTCGGTGTGTGTCTATGCAGACGTGTTTGGTGTATTAAAGGGATGACTTCACGTTCAGTTCAGCTGAAGGAGATATCACCACGTCTCCATTGAAGTACAGTGTAGCTTGCTCTGCTGCTAATCAGGTAGCTCTCCAAAGAGCAGTAAATATTTACCAGTTAAAGTCTTCATGCTGCGAGAAAGTACTTGTTTGATGTTTATTTTTATGGATTTAAGATTGCTAAAAGCTACTTAATAAATTATACCATGGCTAGTCCTGAATGGGGAAACGTGCCTCTTTGAATTCTCCATCATATGCAGGAAGAGTAAAATTAATATTCATTATAGGCGCAAAAGAAAGAGAATGAGTATTTTTAGGCGAAAAAAAAAAGGAGAGAAAATGAAGGCTGCGACTATTTCATTATTTTACCTCCTTTTTTTTTAGCAACCCCCTTGAATGGGCTCTTTATTGTAATTGTCCCTCCCCAATTGAGCACCCCACTGAGCTGTTGTATCTTTTTACAACCCCTAACAACTCGCACCAGTAACACAATTACCGCCAGATATTTATAACGAGAAATTACTTTTCCATTTTCACCCGCGACGATTTCAAATAAATACATGGGGACGCATAAATAAATAAATAAGTGGGCCGGGGGGTGGCGGGGGGGGGGGGGGGGGGGGGGGGGGGGGGGGGGGGGGGGGGGGGGGGAAAGGCGCTGGGGACTGTCCAGGCGCTGGGTCAAGGCAGGCACTAATGAAGGGAGAAGGGGCTTGTTTCTCTGCTCTTTGTAAGTTGGAGGGTTGTTGGTCCGTTGAGTTGGGAAGCTGCGCGGCCGGTTAAGGAGCCTGGGTTTCTGCACTCGGGGTTTGGGTAGAGGAGCAGAATGGAGGCCATTGTTCGCTTTCTGTAGGCTTTGTTTAACAGTTCTCACCCCCTCCTGTTCTTACTTTTTAAAGCAGTGAGGCGAGGTAGACAGCGTGTGTCACAGTACAGTGAAAAAGGGGAAGATCTAAAGACCAAAAAAGAAGTTAATCACAAGACGGGGAGTTTGGGGTAGAAAAAGTTGCCAGTGCCGCGGGGAAAGGGGGAGGGGGGGGGGGGAAATAAATAACTCGAGGAAATACCCGGAGGTAAAAATGGAGCCCCGCTCCCAGCACGCAGGGCAGCCGGCGGAGGGCTCCCCCCCACGCCACCTCCCCGCCCCCGCCGCCGGTGCCCGCGCAGCCCCCGCGCAGCGCCGCCCGCCCCGCTCCGCTGCGCTCCCCCCGGCCCGCGCCCCGCCGCCCCGCACACCTTCCCGGCGCCGCTCCACACTTTTTTAATGTACTTCTTCTGCTTTGTCCTAGAGGGAAGACTTTAACTAGTGACACGCAGATGTGCGAGTCCCTAAATTGTATGAGAGGACAGTCCACCCTGCTTTCAGGCAAGTTTAAAAACATGACTTCGGACTCTCTTTGTGATTGTTGTCGCTCCACTTAATACACCACCTCAGCGAAGGGCACTAACGACGAGGCAATACGCCACCTGCATGCAATTAAAACGAGAAACCACTTGGCGGGCTGCTTCTCTTAATTTTTTTCCCCCGCATGTTAGGGATACATTTTTGCCTTGAGATGTTAAAAACCCCCAAATCCTTAAACTAACCGGGGGAAGATGCCTAAGGATAACAAAATCAGCCTGTGAGATATTAGCCTCTCTGCAGCTTAACTGTGTGCACTACCTCGCCTGATTAACGCCTATTTTATCACTGATAGACTGCTATAGGCGACCCCCGTGGGATACTGCTCTATCAGCCCAACATGCAGAACAGTAAGTGACTCCGCGCCCCTTCGCGGCCGCGGAGGGCAGGCGGGGCGGCCGCGGGCGCGCAGGAGCGGGCCGGCACACCGAGGCGGAGGGCTCGCTCGGGCGGGGGAGGGAGAGGCGGCTCCGCCGGGAGCTGGGACCCCTGCGCGGCCGGGAGCGCCGCCCGCCCCGTCGGGGCGCGGGTACAGCCGTGGGCGGCGGGGAGGGGGCCGGGAGCGCTGTCACGGCTCCTGGGCCACGGAGGCTGACCCGGCTCGTGGCCCGGGACCTGGCTGTGTCTCTGTCTGGTTTGCGGTGGGAGTTGGGCAGGAAAAAGCCACTCCGTGCTAGGTGCAGTTCCTCGTCACCTTCTGAGTTTATTTGCTTCCCGATTCTGATGTCTTTGTGGATTATTAATTTTCTGGGGGACGTTTTATCCGTTGTTGTTGTTGTTGTTGTTGTTGTTGTCGTTGCTGCTGTTAAGACCTCGCCGAGAGGCCTGAGCGTTTCTCAGAGAGGAAAGCGCTGCCACCGGGCAGGAGCGCACGGAGACGGGCACGGGGGGCGGCGAGAAGCGGCCTCTCCTTGCGTCCCGGCGGAAGGGGCTGCGCGGGGGTCGAAGGGACCGGGGCTGAGGTCCCAGCCAGTCTGGAGTAGGCCCCATGTCCTCGGGATGCGGGATGGGCTCCGCGGGAGCGCTTATTCTGCGCGTGTAGCGGTGGCGAGGAGCGCAGGCCGAGTTGCGCGGCCCTTGCGCGGGTCGGTCGGGCCCCACCTCGATGCTTCTCTGGAACCTGGCTGGGGATGCCTATCCCACCGTTCAACCGGTTGATAAGTTGTCCCCCCGTGTGAGCAGCATCAGGAAAAACAGAGGTTTTGGGGATATCTCAGATATCCTAGGGTGGAGCGCTTTTTTTTTTTTTTGGTTGTTTTTTTTTTTTTAATTTTTTTTTTTTTTGTGCTTGTTTGTGGGGTCGTTTTCCTCCGTTTTTTCTATCGGGGCCGCTGCTTGCATGTCCATGCGATGAATTTTCATGTATCCCGAGCAAAAACTGAGCCTCGGCAACCCGGGGAGGGCACTACCTGCGCCTCGCAAGGACGGCGGCGGCTGCCCTTGGCCGTGGCGTGCCGAGGATTTATGGTAATGGGGGATGCCTTCACTCGGCCGTTTGGGATCGCCACTGCAAAACGCAGAAAAGATATCATTCGGGTGAAGCCTTTATTTTGTTTAAAGGTCGCGGCGGGCTCTTCAGGCTTTGTGTTAATAACTCCTGGGTGTATATGGTGCAGAGCATCCAAATTGACACCATATGTTTTCCTATTAGATGACTAGCAATAGAATACAAGGCGCATAATCATTGCCACTGGGCGAGATCTACACCGCTCTCCAGGGAAATTATATAATGATTAAGGCTTAACCTTTTAAGTGAAACTTTGATTTTGCTTTCCCCGCTGCCATTTTTTATGTCGGAGAGGGTCCCCCCCTTGAAATGGGCTCCCCGCACCGCATTTACGGGGGGAGGGGGGGCTGACGACGGACGCTGGATGAGCGGGGGGGGGAGCAGCCGTGGGGCTGCGCCCCCCGGCCGCCCACCACCGCCCCGAGCCGGCCCGCCCGCCGGGGCGCAGCCCCGAGCCCCCCGGGGCGCGGACGGGGAGGGACGCGGGGCTCCTCTCCCCGCGGTGGGAAGCGCAGGTCGCAGCGCCGGCCGTGCTGCTGGGCCGGGGCGGCAAATTCCCCAGCCCCGATGTCACTTCGAATCCATTGCGCGGGGAGCGCGCCCCCTCGGTGTGTCCGCGCAGAGCCCCCGGCTACCGCAAACCGCAGCCTCCCTCGGAGGGAGAGCGAGTAGAGTTCAATCTAGTCTGAGTGATATCCAAATGCGGACAGAAAGGGTCGTTTTATCATGCTACTATTTGTCGTGACGATGCAATTTTCAAAAGCAGAGTACTGTCATAAAGTGACACGCCTGCCACAAGTGCTCCAACTGATCTTTTCAATTAGCCTTCCATGCATGATCCGGGGCGACTTCCGCCTATTTCCAGAAATTAAGCTCAAACTTGACGTGCAGCTAGTTTTATTTTAAAGACAAATGTCAGAGAGGCTCATCATATTTTCCCCCTCTTCTATATTTGGAGCTTATTTATTGCTAAGAAGCCTGGGCTCTTGGAGTCAATTTATCAGGAGGCTCCAAAGAGAGGAGAGCGGAGAGCGCGTAGAGCAGAGCTTCTCCAGGGAGACCCTCCAAAGCCTGGAGCTTCAGGTTGGGCACTGGCGAGGCAGCCCCTCGCTTTGCTTTTGGCGAAGCGAGCTGCGGCTGTGCGGATGCAGGCAGGCTCGCTTGGGCTTGGGCTTTGGGGTTTTTATTTTTTTGGCGGGGAGGAAAAGAAAAAAAAAAAAAAGGCAAAGCAAGGGAGCAACCCAAGGCGATCCAGCCCAGGAATATTCTGGGCTTTTGGGTTGGGTTTGGGGGTTCGCCGCTGCCGCGGGTTTCGCAGACGGGGAGTGCGGCGAAAACGCATTTTCTGAGCCGCGGTGGCTCCCGGGGAGCAGCGGGCGAGGACGGGGCCGAGGCCGGAGCCGGGTCGGGAGCGGTGGCCCCCGGTCGGGCGGAGCGGATGGGCGCGGAGCGGAGCGGCGGAGCTGCGCGGAGCCCTCGTTCTCCCGGCGGGGTGTGCGCGGGTCGGGCGGGAGCGGAGGGTGCTATGGTGGGCGCTGTGCTTCCCGCAGGTCACAGCGGCGTGAACCAGCTCGGCGGGGTGTTCGTCAACGGGAGGCCGCTGCCCGACTCCACGCGGCAGAAGATCGTGGAACTCGCTCACAGCGGCGCCCGGCCCTGCGACATCTCCCGGATCCTGCAGGTGAAGGCGGCGGCGCCCCCCGTCCTCCCACCGCTCCGTCCGCTCCGCTCCAGCGCCGCTGTGTCACCGCCGGGCGCCCGGGCGCTAATGCGACCCCCCCACACCCACCCACACACCACCACCACCCGCCTTCCAGCCTAATAAAACCATCCATCTACTCGATTGTTGCTGCAAATAGACCCTTCTACGCGTATATCTATATATATGCCTTTTAAAAGATTTAAATTTTTATTTTTCGTTCCCCTTTATTCCCATCCGGTGATAACCCGCACTGTCGTTGCAGTTAGTTCGCTGTAATAAACTGAATTATACGGCTCGGCATAATTCCAGTTTCCTCTCCTTCCCTCCTTCCCCCTCCTATTTGCTTATGATTTTGTGATATCTGTATGCATTTGGCGTGGCTTACTGCTTTTTTATTTTTACCTTTTTTTTTTCTTCCAAAAAGCAAAACAAACCAAAAAAAAAAAAAAAAAAGCGAAAAAAAATTAGAGAGAGAGAGAGAGGGAAAAAAAAAAAAGAACCCCCCTCAAAGCCACGCTGTTTTAGCCCGGAATCTGTCTTTACAGACACTCATGCAATCTGGCGCAGCTCAGGGGTACTTTGTAAATGTAGGTCTTGAAAACGCCTCACTCACCCTGTCCCCCGCAAGTATTTTGGCTAAGAGCAGTGAGGAGGATGGAGACTAGTCTGGCTTAGCTATTGTTCGCATTTAAGGAGTATTTTAACATTGATGCTGAAAGAATTACATTTTGACCAGATGATTTTTTTTTTCCAAATGTTTTTAAAGTATCACTTTTGTAGAGGGTAGGGCCAAGAATGTAATTTTTTTTAAAGAAAAAAAGACTCTCTAAGTAAGTTCTCATACCATTTAAGGTATATTTTTGTGTTATAGACCCATGCAGATGCAAAAGTCCAAGTGCTGGACAATCAAAACGTAAGCTTGTCATTGTTTAATGCATACTTAAACAATTTTATTTTTGTCTTGAAATTATTAATAATGTGATTTTCTGTCCACTTCCCTATCCAGGTGTCGAATGGATGTGTGAGTAAAATTTTGGGCAGGTATTACGAAACTGGCTCCATCAGACCCAGGGCAATCGGAGGTAGTAAACCGAGAGTAGCGACTCCAGAAGTTGTAAGCAAAATAGCGCAGTATAAACGAGAGTGCCCCTCCATCTTTGCGTGGGAGATTCGAGACAGATTACTATCAGAGGGGGTCTGTACCAACGATAATATACCCAGTGTAAGTTCATGAAAAAACCCTTCCTGTGTGCTGTGTACAATGCTGGGTAGCCGTAGCGAGCCTCTGCTTCCTTTGTTTTGGTATCAGAGGAGAGGATAGCAGGTTCACATCATTTGCATGTGGCAGGGTCAGACGCATTTTTTCATACAGAATCTGACAAATGCCTTTAAGGAGGGAAAAAAAAAAAAATAAAAAACAATATGCGGGTCACCCCTGCGCCTGGTGCCTCAGGACTGCGAGCATCAGTCGAAGCCATCACTCTGGTTTTGCAGGGTTGGGTTTGGGGCTTTTTTTTTTTTTTTTTTTCCTTGGCTTTTTTTTTTTTTTTTTTTTTTTCCCGTGGTTTGTTTGTTTGTTTGCACCACCACCACCAGCAGTGAGCGAGTCGGGGCGGCTGGGACACGGCGGTGCGGGGCGGCCGCAGCGCGCAGCCGGCGCTCGGGGAAGCCCTGACTTGCGCCCAGGTCGAGCCGCCCGCTGTGCGGAGGGGGCGCGGAGGGGACGCGGGGGCTGCGCGGGCGGCTGGCGGGGAGCGCGCTACCGCACTACCATTGCCTTTCCTGTCCTTTGCCTTCCAGGTGTCGTCGATAAACAGAGTCCTACGCAACCTGGCTAGCGAAAAGCAACAGATGGGTGCCGACGGGATGTACGACAAGCTAAGGATGCTGAACGGGCAGACGGGGACCTGGGGCACCCGACCCGGCTGGTATCCCGGCACCTCGGTACCCGGGCAGCCTGCACAAGGTAAGGGACAGCCCGGTCGCCTCTCTCCGGCCCGGGACGGCTCGGTTCGGTCTCGTTGGGCGGAGGCGGCCCCGCTGCGGGTCCTCCTCGCCCCCTCCCCGGCAGCAGCCCTGAGCATGGCGGTGTCTCTCCCACCGCCTCTCTGGGCGGCTGCGGGCAGGTGGGTGCGGGGTCCGGCGGCCCGGAGGGCGTCCAGACCCGGCCCAGGCAGGGCGGGAGACAGAGGAGCTCAGGAGCATCCTCTGCCAAAGCCACATCCGCCGAGCTGCGGTGCCGGCAGCCGGGAGGGATGTAGGGCTGAGCCTTAACCTCAGCCCGGTAATTAGGGCTCCCGCTCCCCGCCCGGGCCGCCTTCCCGCGCCGGGGTCTCTCTGCAAAGCCGGGGCGATCGGTAACTATCTCCGTAGGGCTGATTATAATTCCTCCTCAATGGACCCGAAACAACTTTGTAAATATAGGAAACTGTTTATCCTGAAGATTAATAGGTATTTGTTGTAGGAATGACAAGGGGATAATATGAAGGATAATGGGATGTTACGTTACATACTTAAGATGGTTAATGGCTTCTTTTTGAATGTGGGCTCTGTTGAGGCGCGGCTCTCCCTGGCTCTGGTCATTCCTTTAGAAGAGGTGTCTATATACAACAACCTGCTTTTTGTTTTCACCCCGCAAGGAAAAAAAATCGGTAACAGTGTGTGGAATATCTGGTACAAAGGATGTTTCTGTCACACGCAAGAATTTGTTATGGGAACAATTCTGTCGCTATGTAATTGCTCATTAGAGATCGTTTTGTTTCTCATTAAGGCGACATGAATAAGCGTCTAGTTGAAGGAGACAGCTGTAGAAATGTTCCACAGGAGACCTCTGGACACGATATGGCACCGCTTGCCAATTAGACATGTCAGTTTTAAGAGAAGAAAACAGTCTATGAAGGACACTAGAAAGATAGAGCGGAGTCCTCGCTTCCCCCCACCCCCACTTTGGTGTTTTTTGTTGTTTGGTTGTGGTTTTGGTTTGGGTTTTTTTGTTGTTTTGCCTTTTTTTTTTTTTTTTTACATTTTGTTTTACCCAGTGTCCACCCCAGGAACCGGGACGGCTCCTACCCCCGGCTCGCCCCTACCTGCGGGGCCCTGCCCCGGCCCGGGGCCTCTCGGCCATCCCCGTGTCTCGGCGCCCTTCCTTCCCTGCCCCGCACCCGAGAGCCAAACCGCGGAGCGGTGCGTGGCGGAGGCACCGCACCTTCCGCCTCTGTGGCTCCCACCGGCCGGGCGCCCTCCTTTCCCGCCCGTGTGTGATTTTGGGGTGTTTTTTTTTGGTTTTTGTTTTCTTAAAAGAGGCGTTAAATCGAGAAATTTGGGGCGCTCCCGGCCGCAGAGCCGGTGGTTGCGTGGCCCAGCCGCGGGTGCGGGAGGTGCGGGACGGGCTCACCTGGGGCCGGCGGCCCTTCGGCCGCACCAGCGCTGCGGCAGAGCCACAGAGCCCGCGAGTGTGCGGGGGTCGGTGGCGCTTTGGGGAGCCCGTGGTGGCCCCTTCCCGTGGCGTGGAGATGAGCGCAGTTCCCGCAGTTCCCCGGGCAGGAGAGTGCGCGGCGGGAGGACCTCGGGAACCCCCCTCCTAAAACCGCAGCCGAAATAAAGCGTTTGCGGGGCAGGGCTGGCTCGGGCCGGGGCCGCGTGTGTGCGTGGGCAGGAGAGGCGAGGGGGAGGCAGGCAGGCACTTAAAACATCCGCCTGGCAAAATTAAAATTAATAAAATGGATTTCCTCTGGAATATTCATGCTCCCTCTAATGTTTTTCCCTTGCAGGGGTATGTTACTGGATTTTAAGAGTCCATTACTCAAAAAGCATAAGGCGAGGTTAGGTCTCAGAGGGGTACAAATATGGTCTCAATCTGATAAACGCCATGCAGCAGTGAATAAAATAATGGATACATGAGGGCTGACAGAACAAAAAGAGACATCTCTATCCGAGAGAAATTCTCCAGTGATTTAGTGGTTTTAGGGATCACCGAGACACTGTTTCTTATCTTTTTTTTATCCCCTCCCTCTCTTATAAGACTAAAGCCTTCTATAGGATTTAGACACTTTCTCTTTCAACAGATGCTACAATGTTTTGATCCCGGCTCTATAGCTGAGAGGTGCCGCAATTGGTTTGCTATCTTTTTTTGCTTGTTTTCCGCCTCACTGATTAAGACACTAAGAAACTAAGGAATGATTTTATTTCCCAGCGTCTTTTTTTTTTTTTCCCTTTTTTTTTTTTTTTTTCCAGGAAACAAATCCTATACCCAGCGTCAGATGGTCTAGCTATAGGATAATAGGGACGGACATTCACTTGCTTTCTTACGGATTAGGTCTGGAAGGTGGAACAGTCCTATTGAGATCGCTCCTTTTAGGGGCTTTTTAAAAAAAAAAAAAAAAAGGAAAAAAAAAAAAACTAGGAAAAAAAAAAGGGGAGTGTAGGTGTCTAAAAAGAAGATATCTTAATTGTCCTGGGGTTTGAAACGATGGGCTGAGGTTTGAAGTGATCATAAGCGAGTTTAGGTGAAACTTTTAGCCGGCCGAAAGGTCTGGGGGAGATGGAGAGCGGAAAAAAAAAAAAAAAAAAAAGTAAGACCTTAAAAGTTTTAAAGATAAAAGGGGTGTGGGGGGCAAGGGAGGTGCTGCCCAGTTCGGGCTGGTCCACTCCGCTCCCCGGCGGGGCCGGGGCGCTCCGCGGAGCCCCGACGGCGCGGGGGGCCCGCGGCCATCCCCGCAGCCCCTGGGCGGCTCCCCCCCGGCCTCCCCCCCCGGCCCCGGGTCGGTGCGGGCCCGTCCGGAGCGGACAGTGATGGATGAGGGCGGTGGCGGAGGTGAGCGCGGCCCCCTCCGCGGGCGGGCGCGGCCCCCGGCGCTGCCACCCGCGCTTGGCAAGGCGCTGCCCCGCCGCGGCGGCCGTCCCCGGGCCCGGGGCTTTGTGTGCCCTGAAAGGCGGCCCCCCCCGCACCCCCGCTATTCACCCGCCGCCGGCCGCCTCAATGGGGCTGCGGCCGCCCATATGGTGACCACTGCCGCTTGAATCCCCGTGTTTAAATGGAGGAGAAAGTTCGGGTTTTAAAACATTTCAAAGTGGTTGAAAGGGTCCCACCAGATCCTGTCACAATTCCCCCCGAGCTTTGAAGGCCGGGGCCATTGTTCGCCGATTATAAATGATATTACTTTAAAGTTGATTTCCCACAATATTTAAAGGATGTCGCGGGAGTGTCGCTATTTATTTTTGGCGTAACTTTTCAAGGGAATTAGCATAAGTAGCCCATGCGTCCCTCACCCCAGCTCCCTCTTTATGTGACATCAAAACGCCTCGAAAAATATGCTTTGAAAGGAGAGGGAGAGCTCATTTAGGGACAACGACTTCTCTGCCTCGCCAGCAGCCTCTGTCCCTCTGGCCCCGGCGGCCGGGGGTGCCCGCGGAGCCCCCCAGCACCGTCCGGCCCGGGCCGCAGCCGCCTTCGCCCGAGCACAATGAAACTTTCCCCTGTTTAATGACGGAAATTACATTAAAAGTGGTGGAAATGCCCTAATTAAAAATGTACCGCTTAAATGATATGCCAAACGCTCAGCTGCAGAATAGCGTATTTAGCTAGTTAGTGAACTAGCTACTATTTCTTTTAAAATTACATGTTAAAATTTTAAAAGAAATCTTACTTTTCTCTGGTGCAACACATTACAAAGAATGGACAGTCCTTTTATCTAAATATAAAATTCCATTTTCAGCAATTATAGCCTGTTCTTGGTGATGATATAATTACAGCTGTGCTCAGTAATAGGTGTCAAGGCAATGCACACTCATACAATAGTTGAATAAAACTGCAGAACAATGCAGGCACTTCTAAATTCACAACCTTTAAAATGAAATTGACTGTGCAGAATTCAAATAAAAACTGGATAAATATTTTTTTAAAAAGATTACAAGCTTGGTTTGGTTTCTTAATAGCATTTTCTGCAAACCTATCAACATCTAATTGATTAGATAGGAATTACTGATTATAGATAATCTGAAATACTGAACATCACTATTTTAAATATAGCAATAGGTAAATAAATGCAGCAGGCAGAGGAGACTGCCATGGCATTTCAGCAGTGATTCATGAAAGAATCACTTTCAGGGGAAAGTATTTTTATGCAGGTTTTATTCCAGAGGCAAAACACAACGAAATTAAGACCAGGTGATCGTATTTCTTCATCTCTGATGTTTACAATAAGGCTGGAAACTGAAATGTTTCCGTGTTACCCATGTCATTAGCGCTGTGCTGCTTTGATACTCGAGACATTTTTAAGGGAGGGTGTCAGCAAACATGGCTGAACTTGTTTCCAATCGCGTTATTTCTCTGATAGGGATCTTAAAACAAGGGTACCTACATTTCACTTTCCTACTCTCCGGTTCCACAGATGGCTGTCCGCAACAGGAGGGAGGAGGGGAAAACACTAACTCCATCAGCTCTAATGGAGAAGATTCAGACGAGGCCCAAATGAGACTCCAGCTGAAAAGAAAGCTGCAGAGAAATAGGACATCCTTTACCCAAGAGCAAATCGAAGCCCTTGAGAAAGGTGAGTGACATTTTCCTATGGCTGAAGCAGGAGAGAAAAGCAAAATGTGCCCCGACTGCATTAACAGCTGAACGTAGGCATGGCATTCACGTGCCTTATATATACGTATATATTTAAAGTCCGTGGCTCCCTCTGTGCTCTTTTATTCACTGAGCTCCAAATATTCATTGATGGCTGTGGTATGCCCTAAAAAGCCGTTAAAAGGTTTTTCAAAAGGGAGGTATTCAGGGCACAGATCATATCGGAATATTGATGCTACACCCTGGGCTCCTTCCAGGGGGAAAAAAATCTCCTCCTGCCCACTGTCCCTGGCTGGGCTGCATTGCTGTGAGCTGGGAAGGCGAGGGTGGGCAGCTGGGGCTGGCAGCAGCCCTCCATGCCTGCCCCCACACTCGCTCCCCATCCCCAGTGCTGCTGCTGCTGCCCGAGGCTGGGAGCAGGTGCCCTTTTCCCTGACCGGCCTGGGCGCACCTCGCCTCTGACCTGCTGCGGATCTTTGTTCTGATTTTGCGCTGTTATTTAGCAACGTGCCATTTCGCTTCTTGGTGACAGGGTCAGAGCTGCCTTGGGGACCCCCTCAGCGGAGGCAGAAGCCCTCACTGCTTCTTGAAAGATGCAGCATTGCACCCAAGCCTGCCTATCCCCATAGCAATATTCCCCAGCAGGCAAGGCGTCCTCCTTCCTAACACACACACAGAGACACACACACACACACAGAGAGAGAGAAAGCTCAGCTTTGCCTTTGCAGTGATGCTTCTTAAGAGCATTTAGAGCACAGGCAGTGCAGGAACAACTCTGACTTTACAGTCGGCCGCACTAAGTCTTTGCAACTAACGCAGGAATATTTCCTTCTGCAGAATTTGAGAGGACCCACTATCCCGATGTGTTTGCAAGAGAGAGACTAGCTGCTAAAATAGACCTGCCCGAAGCAAGGATACAGGTACTGAGTTGCTCTGCAATTATAACTGTTATTATTTTTACTATTACTCTTTTGATGTTGTTATTCCTGGCTTCTCAAAGCACCTATAGGGCAGCCCCTATTTATGATCAGGTATTTGTCCATATCCCCCTTTCAGCAAAATAGCAGCAGCTGGGCTTTGCTTTCACCTGCTGCTTTGCTCCACCGCAAGCCCCACTAAGTGGGGGAGTCCTTGTAAGGTCACTCATGACTCTCAAATGCTGTATTTCCAGGTATGGTTTTCCAACAGAAGGGCCAAGTGGAGAAGGGAAGAGAAGCTGAGGAACCAGCGAAGACAAGCCAGCAACACTCCCAGCCACATTCCCATCAGTAGTAGTTTCAGCACAAGCGTTTACCAGCCGATCCCGCAACCAACCACCCCCGGTAATGCCAACAACCCGCTCATGTTCATCCATCCTCTTGGGAAAACGAGACTTTGAGACTGTATTGCCAGTTGTAACTGTGGTTGGACTAATGTGTTCATCTATCTGTCTATTCTATTATAGTTTCCTCTTTCACATCAGGTTCCATGTTGGGCAGAACGGACACGGCGCTCACAAACACGTACAGTGCGCTGCCGCCCATGCCCAGCTTCACCATGGCCAACAACCTGCCTATGCAAGTAAGTCCAGTGCCACCACCATGGCACGATGCTCCCTTGGGACTTGGTGGCCCCTGGTATATGTGGGAGTGTGGGTGGAGGCCCTTCCTCTGCAGGATGAGGGGTCACGGACCCAAATCGTGCTACAGGGAAACCAGCACCAAAGGCATCAGAAAAGATGCCCTCTTTGGGAGAACCAGAAGGGATAGGGAACTGGAGGATGTGGTGCTCAACAAGCACCTTTTTCTGAATTTTAAAATGGAAAGTCCTCAAATTTGCAGGGCAACAAATCTGTGATGAAAAAATGTTTTTTGGAAAAAACCCCTGTGGTTAACCTGTGGAACTCACTGGTGTCGTATCGTGGAAATTGCTGCCTGAATAAGCTGCTGGAGGGATCCGACATTCTGGGTGTAGGTATTGTGGCAGCGGCACATTAGGAACACCTGAGAGAGGGAAGGATGTGATTAGCATCAGTGGTTATGCCAGCTAAGCCAGAATTGCAAGAGCTGTCAATCCTCATGCCTGAAAGCATTAGCTGATCACCAGCTGGGTTAGGAAGAAATCTATTCCTTTGGGGTCTGTTTCTATAGACCTTTCAGATGCAAAATTCCTCCTTTTTTAATGGTGGGGTTGGCCTAGGAAGGTGCTGGCCAATTACGGGAGTTTTACAGCTTTGTCTGAGGCACACAGCATTGACCACTGCTAGAGACAGGCGAGCAGATTAGAGAGCCTGACTCCTTCGCTGCGGCAATTACTATGTTACTAATTGCTGAACCAAAATTAACCAAATAAAGTTAGAGTCTTGCAAGTCTATGGAAAGAAGTGATGTTGGCTACATCGCTGTTCCGTGATGTCGGCGGTGCCGTTCCCGGCAGCAGGCTGGGAGCAGACGACAAAGGATCAAAAGGCTGATCCAGGAGGGGACCCTTGGGAATGCAGGAGGCCCCCGATTCAGCACCGGGCACCTGGGCAGGGACCTGGCACGTGTAAGCTGCTCTGGAAAACCCTGCCTACGTGGTCACCGTGGCATGGTAGCCATGCAATGTTGGAGAGGGAGGTTTGGCAGCCAAACCACTGGTATCTCCCTGTGGATGCATGGTGAGCTGCTAGTTCTCCCAAAGCACAGCGTGTGTGCCTAGCAAGTGAGGCTGTCAATATTTTTGGAGACAGTGTGTGTCAGGGGTGTGCAGACAGAGGAAATATGTGCAGATGTGTTGAGTCTTGTGTGCGTGGAGCGGGAATTACTCATCCTGCTTCCTGCTCCCCCACTGTCTCTCTGTGTCAAGGCTGCGCTGGTCCTCACTCACCAGGCACCCTGGAGCAGGAGAAGCCCCTGCTTGGTCCCTCAGCCCCTGCCTTCCCCCCTGACAGGTAGGGTTTTAAAGGTTGGAGTTTAGGTAAACAGAGATGTCTGTTCTGGGATGTTGCTGGCGTGGGTTTGGGGTGATTGTGGCTCTGACAGGGGATCAATGCACATGTATGAATGGGTTTGGGGATCCCTCTTCAGAGCCTCAGTCACCCCAGACCCACACATTGTGTGTATGTGCCCCAGGCTTGCAGGTGCAGGACCAGCCTGTGTGCCTCAGTGGAGTAATTTTTAGTTACACCCCTAACAGTTTTTAGTTACATCATCAAATGTGAGGTAAGATGTTGGCCCCGTCTCTGGCTGCAAATGGTATGACACATCTTTCTTTTACATGGGTATAAACGAGTGCATCACTCTGGCTTAGGTATGTAACACCTCCACTAGCACCCAGATGTAGGGATCTGCTCACCAAGCATGTCTGAAAAAGCTCCAGTGACCATCCACGTTGATTTTTTAGACTGAACACCGTCATGAAGAGGCTGCTTGGCTGAGCTCCTAAACAGGGCTTTACATCGGGGTCCCTGAATTTGAAACCGAAACTCATTCTTGCTGGTGCCCACCCGCTGCTGAGGGCTGGCACGTCCATCCAGAGCAGCCTGATGCCGTGTTTACCTCCACTGATAATTAACACTGTCCTGTCCTTTGCTCCCATAGCCCCCGGTACCCAGCCAGACCTCCTCCTACTCTTGCATGCTGCCCACCAGTCCATCGGTGAATGGACGGAGCTATGATACATACACCCCTCCTCACATGCAGACACACATGAACAGCCAGCCAATGGGCACCTCTGGCACCACTTCCACAGGTGAGTGACCCCGTGCTCCCTCAGCCTTTCTTCCTTGATCCAGCCATCAGGTTTTTCACGTGTATTCACTGGGAGAGGTCCCTGTTGGGTTCAGTAGCTGCTGGACCAGGCAGAAGATGAAAATGTAAAACCTTGCGAGCTGGAGCAAAAATTCTGATTTTTTAAGCTGCTGCTGCAGGGCTGAATGAAAGACAGCAGATTAACAGAGGTGGTGTCCCAATAGCAGGATGGTGGAAAGCTCTTCAGTGAGCCCCCCATCCCACAAAATCTTCCCCATTTAATTAATTTCTAAAGCAGCATTTATTTCAGCATTAAATTTCACCAGAGAAACCCACACTAGTGAGGTTAAGTGTATGTGAAAGCATTTATAAGACTGGGTGTATTTTTACCGTGTCTGTGTCAGATGTTATTCACTGCTAGAAATTTGAAGTTATAGAAAAGGCAGGGAACCTGTAGAAATATTACTCTATGCATAAAAAAGGCAAAACGGGGTAAAAAAGGGTGTAAAGAATAAACAGGAGACACTTTCAAAAAGACTACAACTGTTCAGTGTATTTTGGGTTGAATTCTCAACTGATACAACTGAGCTGAGGCTCTGGCATTTATCTCAAAGCATGACAGTTTATTTATAACAACAAATCAGTGAGATGTGCATAGTTTTTAAAATATACACATACCTGATTCTGCAGGCTGGTAGATGGTGAGAGTTAATGCTTACTGGAATTCGAGCACAAATCTGTGAAACTGTAAAGCAAAAATTGTGCTATGTATAGAAAAACTAAAATATCCATTTTCCCTCTCAATTTTCAGGTCTCATTTCCCCTGGAGTGTCAGTTCCAGTTCAAGTTCCTGGCAGTGAACCTGATATGTCTCAATACTGGCCAAGATTACAGTAAAACATGTGTTAATTCCGTAAATGACTATATGGACAACAGTTGGATGTTCAGCAGTATTTTATAAAGGAAGAATGGCTCTCAGAGTACTTCTGTACTGCAACTGTGCCCTATGCTGTAACACATGGAAAAGACTTTCACATGGACCTTTGTACACTGAAGGCATTATATCAGTTGGAACAAATCTTCATTTTGGTATCCAAACTTTTATTCATTTTGGTGTATTATTTGTAAATGGGCATTTGTATGTTATAATGAAAAAAAAAAAAGAACAATGTAGACTGGATGGATGTTTGATCTGTGTTGGTCATGAAGTTGTTTAAAAAAAAAAAAGAAAAGGAAAAAAAAAAAAAAGAAGCCATGATCAACAAGCTTTGCCACGAATTTAAGAGTTTTATCAAGATATATCGAATACTTCTACCAATCTGTTCATAGATTATGGATTGACGTTCCAAGTTTGTATCATTCCATTGCATATAACTGAACCTGGAACAATACGCACTAGATTTATGTAAGAAAAATATCTGTTGGTATTTCCAAAGGTTGTTAACGGCTGAAGCTATGTGCAAACAGGGGGTAAGAGAGAGCTTCGATGAAGAAAAGAGTTTGATAGATAAAAGGTAGATTGTGTCTTCGATATAATCCAATTTGTTTTATGTCGAAATGTAAGTATTTGTCTTCCCTAGAAATCTCCCAGAATGATTTCTATAATAAAGTTAATTTCATTTATATTTGACAAGAATATTCTATAGATGTTTTATACACATTTTCATGCATCATACGTTTCTTTTTGGTCGGCAAGAGTTAATTGTTCTTAGATATAGTTGTACTACTGTTCACAGTCCAATCATCTTTGTGCATCTAGAATTCATTCCTAATCAATTAAAAGTGCTTGCAAGAGTTTTAAACTTAAGTGTTTTGAAGTTGTTCACAACTACATATCAAAATTAACCATTGTTGATTGTAAAAACCATGCCAAAGCCTTTGTATTTCCTTTATTATACTATTTTCTTTTTAACCTTATAGTGTGGTGTTGCAAATTTTGTTACTGTGTTAGGTTAATCTCATTAAGCTTTATTTTGATTTTATTTTCAGTTTCCAATAAGGAGGGATTCTTAAGAGACGCTTTTATAGACTTTCAGCCCTTCCGCCAGCCTGTAATTTGGGCTAACAAAAAGAAGATAGGTTCACGTATCTAATTGCAGCTGAGAGCAGGAGGAGGTTGTTTATTTAGCTTGGGTTTCTGGGGATGCTCTAAATGAACTCCAGAATCCAGCAGAATTTCCAGTGGGGAGTTTGCATCGTGCCAGTCAGTGGCAGAGACACGATGCACGCCTGTGTCTATCCGCTGTAATAGTACGGATAGACACACATGCACACAAATATACATTCCTGACTTCTAAAAATTGTTTTTGTTAGGATGCTTAAAAGGGAAAAAACCCAACCCAGCTGTGTTTTTAACAGGCTCTTTGGGAGACTGAATACCATCCCTTTATATTGCCACACAGCACAATCTTAGTGTAATTTTCCATTGAACTTGTAACCTGGTTAATACCTCAATGCGCTTTGTGTGAGGGTTGTTAGTGTGGGCGTGGGTGGAGAGCTGCATGTCAAGGAATAATGAGAGAAGACAAATCAACAGGCAACAACAATGCGAGCTGGGACTGGCTAGTGAAAGCTAAAGGCCTTTAGTCACTGGCAGGGAAATCTAAACATTCCCATATCTATGAAGCTGGCTCATTGTGCTGCAGTTGTTACTCGCGATGCTGTGCTGAAAAAGGGATCTCATGATTAAAAAGCCAATGTGCAGGGAGTTTTGAGTCAAAGCACAGGCATCACAAGCAGCCTTTGTAAAGCAAAGATACCATCTAGGCTGGTTATGTTTTCCTTTCGGCATATTTGTCACTGCAGATAACGCTTCACTGTAAACTTGGGGTAGAAGAGCTGAGGTGTCGAGGTAGTTGCAGCGCTGCAGACGAGATTAAATGCACGTAAACTCTGGATCCTTTAGTGAAAAAGAGCAGTTTTGCTCAAAGCATGAGATGATAGCAAAATGAAGAGCCCAAAGCAAGCTAAAATGAACAAAAATATTAGATTTCGATTTCTTTTTGATTGATACTGGTCAGTTGTAAGTATATTTGTTATACCAGCATAAAGTAGTTTTAACTACCTGGAAGCCATCCATTCACAAATACTGAAGTAACATTGATTTTTAAAAAAAATTTTAATACATATTTTTGTCAGACCTGCGTGTTATGTATTTATGAGATACGGACAGATTGCATTAAACACCACAATAGGCAGGTCCCTTCTCACACAGCCAAATTGATTCAGGGAACAATTAATTACAGATACAAACCCGGCATTTATATAGCCACTTAGCATGTTTATACCTACTAATGAAGTTTGTTATCTAAATGCCAACTTCTGTTCGACCAGGAACGGAAAACAGCTTCCCATCCCTTCCCTCCCCCCCGACAGCTTTTGTGCCCTGGTCGCTGTTCCTGCAGGTGCCGATCCGCGGGCAGAGGCAGCTCCCCACAGCTCCTCCCTGCCCTTCCTGGGTTTTCCCGGCCTTGCAGCTCCACGGCCTGTGGTCCAGCCGTCGGTGGCCCCCACATCGTGCTGTCTCCAGCCCTGTCCACCCCTCCCGAAGCCTTTTTGGTGGCAGGCTGTGCTGGGGGCCGCAGCCTTCCCACAGCCCCCGCAGCCACGCGATAAAGCCGCTGCGTGCGCGGACGAACCTTGAGATCATTCCGGTGACAGGCTGGCTGGCCGCGGTGGAGAGGAGACATTTCTGGCTCACTGGCTTGTTATCGTGCCCTATGGAAGCGGGTCGGCGGGGAAAAGTCCCTGGCTGGCTGCACATCGGGAAGGAGTCAGGGCATTTGGTCCCCAGAGCATCGCTCGCCTCGAAGAGCCGCTGCCGAGCGCGCCGCGGGCTCTGCGGGTCACGGGCAGCCTCGGCCTGCACGTCTCATGTTCGCAGCCCTGCCAAGAGGCATTTCCCCGGGTGGGCTGGGGCACGGGGCCGAGCGTGAGGGGGTCCCACGCCCGGGCACCGGTGCCAGCTCCCGGGTGCTCGCTGGGGGCCAGGGGAGGCCCCGGAGCAGTCTCAGCGCTGTCGCGGTGGTGTTGTGGCTGTGCGGGGATGTGCTGCCTCGCCAGGCACCACGACCAGCAGCAGCATGCGTGGGGAATAAAAACCTTCAGCGCGCTCTGAACAGCCTCTACCACCCGTTTTCATCCCCTTTTTTTCCTGCCAGAGCTGTATGACTTGTGAAGAGTGGAATCTGCTGTGATGTGTTGCTCAGTGTAACACAGCAATTTCCAAGGGTCTCGTCTTTTTACCACTGAAATTAGTGGGAGTTTTGCTATTGATTTCAATAGGAATGAGACATTTCTGTGCATTTGGTTAAAATGTATTTCATAATAACACCTTATACTTTATTTATAAGCCCCTCCTAAGGCATTTCACAAATTATAGTCACACAAGAATTGATGTGTGAGTGCTGTCTTAATAACACCGTATTTTGTGTTTCAAATATTGTGTTCTAGATACAATATTTACATTCACAAGTGAAAAGGCTGCTAACCTAACAGTTATTGTTCAGAGCAGACAGATGATGAGCCATACATGCTGATGGTGAAGCAGACATGCATGCGGTGACACACGTGTTGGAGCTGCCTCGCGCCGCGCAGACACCCGTTTTAATTGTTTTTAAAAGGTAAGCACCAGCCAGCATGTGCCCTGCTCCAGGAGGCAGGAAGAGCTGCCTTCTCACCCAGGCTGTGACACAGAGAGGGGATTTCCCCTCTATTTTTTATTTATAAAGTCAGCAAAACGCCCCAGTAGGCTGGTTTACTTTAGGTAGCCTAACGTGGGATTTATCTGTGGGGGCAAGATTACAGTAGCAGAGAACAACCTGGGACTGATAACACACATTGCCTCCCCCCGGCTTTCCAGCCATTGGAAGTCCTATTTCATTCACTTTCCATGGCCGAAGGTGTCTGTTTGTTTGGTTTTGTTTGTTTGTTTTGTTTGGTTTTTTGTTTTGTTTTAAATTGACTTTTCTAGTATTACAGACTAAAATACATTATCTCCTTTTCTCCGGGTAATACCTGCGAGTTTAGAGTTGTGTTAAGGTTTACATTCGTTTTGCATTTTCATGGTACAAACAGTACTACGAAAACTGAAAACGTGTCATTGTTTTTAATTTCTTTTTTTTTCCAGTTCGTTTCCATTTGCTCTTGTCCTTGGCTTCAGCAGTTGAGCATTGTGCCACGTGCAGCTGATAAGGTTCCTCTGCTCTGGGAATGGTGTAGGATCTTCCTTTAACATAACTCTTTGACAAGGCACCTGCTTGCTTAATAATGAGCTCCTGCAGCCGTGTTTCTAATCAGAAGTGTGGCTGGCACCTACAAATACCCAATTCAACCCCCCTCCCCAATCAGCAATAGGCATGTGAATCATGGGTGTGAGAGCAGAGTCTGTGGTGGCTGTTTGGTCTTGTTCAGACAGTGAGTATTTACGTGTCTTGCTGTGGAGAAAAGGCAGCCAAGGGAGTGTTTCTGTGGCTGAAGAGGGCAGGAACCCTGAAAACCTTGCACAGAGTGGTAGAGGCAGAAGAAATGTTCCTCCTCTTTGGGTGGAAGATAAAGCATGGAATATAATTCCATTTGGATTAACGCTGGAGAACGATGCTAGGGAAGTCTCTCACGTTATCGTTCCGTATTTCTTTGAGAAAACAGCAGAGGATGGAGCAACCTGCACGAGCTGCAAGGTAGAAAAGATAGCACAGTTTGGATAGGAGCCAGTTTGGCAAGTTCCTTGCTTTAGAACATGTTCTAAATTAATTCCTCCCCTAATATTCTCTTAGTTGTAAAGAAAGTAAACCCCAGCAGACAGTCAGGGTAGCTTACCTAGTTCACTATCCTAAGATAGTTTTCAAAAGCAATCATGTGGAAGATGAAGGTGTTTTCATAGGGTCTGCAGAAATGAAACATCAAAGAAATGATCAGTCTGTTAATATGTACAGCTGATGTGTTGTAGATTTTCATGAATCCTCCAGCTGCCACAACCCCTGTTGTTTCTTTGGAAGGTGGCCCTTTGGAGAAAAGTCTCTGGGAAACCTGCTTTCCCCTAAATTTCACTATGAACCTCTGATGACTGTACTTCAGGGCCTTCTGTACTACTCCCTTTCCCCTTCTTGGTACTACCCCCAGTGAAAGGATCGTGATTTTGAAGGTGGTGAAGGTGAAAACATGTGTGTGATGCTGATGGGCTGTGTGCTGGTGCTGCTCTGCCCCCCAAAAAACCATGATACTGCTTTTGCTGG